GAAAATAAACAAATTACAAGCATAGATAAATATAATAGAACAAAGATACAAATGAAATAAGCAGTGCTTTATATTTTTCAGGTAAGTCTAACAGTATTCAGGTACAGAAATTGAATAATCAAATGCTAAATAACACTGCATAGTCTTCACTGTATAAATCTAATAAATCTGTGTTAAAATCTGTTAACCATAAGCAACTGTGTTTACAGGGATACTTGCAGAGACATGCATTTTGACAATTTCGTGCGTATGTGTCATTTCAGGCACAAATAGAATTCAGTGTTCATGTGCGGCTCTCACCGTGTCTACACCGGATGCGAGCGGCGCGGTGCGACGCGACAAAACTCATGCCTCGTTCTATTTATGGTGTACTGGCACAAAATTCAAATGATTAGCAAAGGTCACATTGTCACGTCCAGAGTAGACTATAGCTGTTGCGGCGCTGGGCGGCACAACACGAGAGCTGTCGCATCCGGTGTAGAGACAGTGTCTGTGTGTGAGCAAAGAAAACGATCAGTATAAATATAACGATCAGTATACTAAACATCAAACATCCTGCAATGTGACTATCGCGGATGCGTACATCGCAATATCGCTGCTGAAACGATATATCGTGCAGCCCTAACAGTAATACAATATTTTAGTCAAACAGTGGCAGTAGTTTTTGTTAGTTAAAGTCTTGCCCTGATCAGCTATATGTGTGACGTGGAAACATCCTAGAGCAACAACAGTGAAACTGTAGACCACACATGCTCACGGGGCCGGACCGAGATCTCAAGAGTGTAAATATCATGTGCCCTCATTTAACACACTCACTATCCAGTTCCAAACAACAGCAATGACTGAAGAGAAGCTTGTCAAGAGCTTTATGACATAGAAAGGTGCACTCAATCATTTTTGCTAATTAAAAAAAAAATTAACCCTAAAGAAATAAAAAGCACTTTTGAACAAAATAATGTATACTGACACATAAGACAAATATATCCAAGTCTTCTAGAAAAAGCAATTTATTGAACTGATTTTAAAATAAGACAAAACAAGTATTAAAATAAGCTAAAATAACTACAAATCTATTTTTAATTCACCATGTGCCATGTGCTTGCCAGCCATATTGAAGTAAATTAAAAGTTTTTTTTGCTACTCCTCCTACAAATTTTGCCCAATTTGTCCAAAATCTGATCGTATGATCTTTGGACCGTGCCACAAAGAAATTACTGAATATATTTTTGATATTCACTACCATTCCCAAGAAATACCTCTCCAAAGTAGACCGTGCTGTGTTTGTTGTCTTATGCTATTAAGCTTAATATGCTAATAAGTTACAGGCTAACCAGTTACAATGCTGTTTAATGTGATTCTTCCGCTGTCAAGTTAATCATAAGCTGCATTACCATTAACTTAACTTTGCATATTACTCTGGTTAAAATGCTAAATAACTTTTTTTGGGAGCTCATTCTCACACCTAAACCTCTCCTCATCAGCACGTTGAATGTGCGTCAACTGAGTGGCACACTCTGCTAAGCCACCTGCCCCCGAACCTTTCAGGCCATGGGTTTGAATCCAGTGTGGCATATTCCCAGACCATCATAGGTATTGTGGCAAGAAATGATGCTGAAGTTACTTATTTTCCAGATGTAGTGCTTTTTTAAGTATCATCTCATCTGAGCTTAATAAATACTACCTTTGGTGCATTTATATACAAAATCTTAATTTTGAGTTGATTGTCACTTGAATTACGGAGCTTCAGGTTCTGCATAAACCCACGTATTCTCAGTGGCACGATGAAATGAGTTGTAGGCACCTGACCCAGAGATTGTGGGTTCTAATCCTATGTAGTACAAACTTTATATAACTGTGTGTAATGTTGTGTCACTTGGAGCCAATTGCTGCAGTTCTACCTTCGACAACTCAAGTCTCTGTAAAATTAAACAAACTACAGTGCATGAGTGGCATGCTGTGTAAATCAAAAGGCTAAAGCTTTGAAGATTTTCTACAAATTCAATGTGTAGCAAGTGTTTAACCATGGGAACTAGGGCTGGGCGATATAGCTAAAAAATGTATCAACGATATAATGTTTCATATCGTTCGGTATCGATAATTATTGACATTTTATAACCTTTTTTAAAACAAAAAGCAATAGAAAAAAAATGTTTAAATTTAACCACTGTATTTATAATTAACACAATTTATTGAGACAAACAACAAATATTTTTGGTTTTAACAGTTAAACACACAATAAAAATTAAACAAATATCTAATTTCTAATGTTTTATATGCAGATTAAATAGGTCTTTATTGAATAGGTCTAACAACAGTCAAATGCAAATGTTTATTTTAAATTCGACTAATATTCATTCTTTATTCACAATCTCCTCATCACAGGCAGGCACAGCACTCATTTCAGCATGTGTTCGTGTTTGTGTGTGCTGGTCTGCGTCACTCATAGCACGTGTCTATATTGTGCGCCATATAGAACATTTTTTCTATCGATATCGAAGAAGGTGTACCGTCGATAAATATCGATACAGTTTTATCGCCCAGGCCTAATGGCAACTATACATTGTTTAAAAGTATCCAAATAAAATCCAGGATTCAAATGTGTCAAAAATGGCCATAATGGGCTTGGCCCCATAATTGCGGCATGCAGCTATATATAAAAACATTTTTTATTTTTTTATTTTTTGGAAGACTCACAATGCTCATTTCAACAGTGGCCATTTTTTTAAATAACAAATATACTTTTTGTTATGCCAAGCTCTAAAATTATTTTTTTGTAGAAATTGCAAAAATAAAAACATGGTAAAATAGGTAAATTATTTTATTATTATTTAATAACATAAATAAAATAAATATTTTTTTTAACATTTTTTTTTACCTATACATTAACTGTGGAGTCAAAATGATTGAGAACCACTGTTCTACAATGAGCAGGTCGCCCCCCTAATGGACAGCACATCAGGTTGGCATCACATGACAATCCTCTGTGTCATGCAATTGACCAGCTACATTATTACTAACCATAATAACGAGTAAATATACTGGGACTTCAAGCAGCTAGACTGTTTATAGTGTAATGCAGCAGCAAACTGCTTTCCACCAACAATATATCAATAACCATTGGGATTGAATACACAAATGTTTATAGTATGACAGCAAAAGAAAGCTCTGGCAAGAAATCTCAGAAATGAATAAACTTAAAGCATCCGGACCAGTAGGTGTCAGTGTAGAGTATTAGAGCACTGCCATGAGTAAGGGCAAACAAAAAAGAATGCATCTTTAAATATCTAACATCACCATGCACAGTTTGGCTGGTGTGTTGTGGGAACATCCTCTGGAGTTATGGATCACATGTAACCATCATGGATGGGCTTACCAGAGGCCAGGAGAATACTACCTTTCTGAACACATAAGGTTGTGGCAATGCCTACATGTACAGTATTGTCCACACTGTCACAACACTTTCATTCTCCTCAACACATTTAGGATAAACTGGAATGACAACAACAACCTCGGCATTCATTTTTGTTGCTCTTGTAAGGAAATCTGCTTACCAATGGCTATTTGTAAATCTTGGAGGCTAACGTTTTTTAAATGTTTGACAGGCAGGTTTTAAAACTAAACTAAACAAAAAAGAAAAAGAAAAAAAGTGTATAAAAAGTCAATATCATGAAATCAATACTTACATATGCCCTCTAAACGTGTATATGGGCTCCACATCAAAAGAGGCACTTCTGCAAAGCAAGATGAAACTTTGTTTAGCAGTTTGTTTGGAACATTAATGTTGCATGATAAAATCAATGTGCTTCTTGAGACATCATTTTAAAGGGGTCATATGATGCGATTTCAAGTTTTCCTTTCTCTTTGGAGTGTTATCGCGATTAAGCTAAGGGGCATTACATTTCCGACGCGTGGTGCGTTGTGGTGTTCGGCCAATCACAATGCATTGGGTCAGCTGGCCAAAAAGCATGTCAACATATTCTGTTACACCAAATACACAAAATAATTAGGGCTGCACGATAAAGCTTTACTGATAAGATGCGCGTTAAATATCGCGTGCGATTTATCGTGCAGCCCTAAAAATAATGATCTTTAAAATAGCATCATATGACCCCTTTAAAGATCAAAAGCAATCCCAAGAAAGCCACAGCAAGCACTTACTTTTTGGCAGGAACTGTCTTCTGGAGGTTCCACAGTTTGAGGGTGTGGTCTTCTGAGACGGTGACCAACACCGGTTCCACAGGATGGAAGGCCAAGGCCCGCACTCCATCAAAGTGGCTTCGCAGGGTATATTTGGGATTCCATGTCTTCCTGAACGCGTCCTTATTGGCTGGCAGCATATATTTTTATATAATATTATATATAAATATATACATACAAGATTTTTGGTACCATTTCCTAGAACCATACACTGTGCAACCCTAATAGATACAGAGATAAGAAAATATACAGTGTTTATGGCAATAAATGTCTTGATTTAAGGGTGACACAGACTTCACATATACATGTGCCTCTTTACCAAAAATACATGTCATATTTATGGTGACATTTACATTAGGGGTGGGCGATATCTTATCGTTTGCGATATACCAGGAAAAATTCTCCCCACGATAAGAATTAGTCTTCCCGTGATATAACGAGTCTATTTGTTGACATATTTCTGTGTGTGACAGTGCGGAGCGAGGCAGATGTGAAATTGAGGAGTTGATCGCTTTTACAATCTGGAACTGGTTTGGTCAGGGATTTACTGTACAGTGCGACAAAAAAAATCGGTCTGAGCCTTAAATAAATGTACTACAGTACATTAGCAAGTGTGCGATACAGTTTTGCATGTGTATGAGCCTGTTTACAAACCTGTTATCCAACAAAGATATCATTTATTGACATGCTTTCTCCAAATTAACTTAACATAGTCGAGTGGTTGAAATAACTTCGTTTTGTGACCAGACGTGGTTTCATATTACAGAATGATAGTATTATATACAGTGATAAAGGCTATGTCGATTAGCATTGCATTATAAATATACATTCCTTATAAAAATACCCGATTGCTTGAACACAGATAAGCCATATATTTTGTGCAATCGTATGTTTATTGTCTTCAAGTTTTATCAGTTAAAATTCTCCAGCCCTAATTTACATAATCCTTAGTTTAGAAGTGGGTCAGAACAGACAGAAGAGAGTAAGACAAAAGAGTGAGAGATAAAGAAAGCAGAAGTGAGGGTGTGTGATGGATGTAATGAGCTGATGTGTTTGACCCAGCTGGCTCTGGTCGGAGCAGTAAGAGAATCTTTCGTGCTGGAAGCTGGCAGGAATGCTGATGCAGCAACTGGCCTAAATAAGATTCTACCGCAGGGCTAGTGTGTGCCACAAAGCACATACAAAGGACACGCATGCACATGCAGGCACACGTTGAAAACAGTTCACTCAAAAATATACTTTTTGAGGTTTGTGCTGTGTGTGTGAAACCTAATAAAAACTTGCAGAATGGCCAAGCAGCTCGTTTCATAGACTGATAGTAGGTAGTGATTTTTACTAAGGAAGTACCACTTACATTCCTAGTATTCTGGACGTATATGACAGCTTTGTGTAAGCAACTGGCTTAAGTCATTATTCACATGTTGATGCACGTCTAGACACACTACAGTTTAAAAGTTTGGGGTCAGTAAGATTTTATTCAGCAAGGACACATTAAATTGAAGTGTACATTTGTTACAAATGATTTTTATTTTAAATAAACGCTGCTCTTTCAATTCAGTTTTCTATTTTGTACTTTTCTATCAGAGCAACTGTTTTCAACATTAATAATAAGAAGAAATGATTTCTGAAGGATCATGTGACACTGAAAACTGGAGTAATGGTTGCTAAAAATTCTAATTTTTAAATTAAGAAATATATTTCACATTAATAGCATTTTACTGTTTTCCTCAAATTAATGCAGACTTAATGAGCATAAGAGACTTCTTTCAAAAAAAAAAAACATTCCAGATCCCCAACTTCTGAACCATAGTGTATGTGACAGCAGAGAGAAAAATTATAAGTCAATAAAAATGCTATTAACTTGTAATAGAAAAGATTATTACAAATACAGCACTATATGTCCTATTGGTGCTTTTTAATGTACTTTTTGGATTCAGTATAAATCTCCATTCATTTTCACTCTATGGCAAAGATCTGCATAGACATTCTGCCTAATGTCTTTTTGTGTTTTGTGGAAGAAAGAAAACACAGAGCTGAAACAACATGAGGGCGAGTAAATGAAAACAAAATGTTCTAGTTTGGGTGAAGTAGTCCTTTAATTGCAGGCCTTATTTTAACCCTACATGATAATAGACCTGCAGTCATTGCTCAATCATCAAACACTCCTTTGAGATGTGCCCTACTTCATTATAGATCTATAATCTATAGAAGCTTGTTTACGCCACAGGATAAAAAACTAAAAAGGTAATTGCAACTTTTTATTCCACAATTCAGAAAAAAAAAAGAATAAAAAAAAAAAGTGTACATTTTTTTTTACATGTTTGGCAGTTCTGAGAAGTAAAGTCAGAATTGTGAGACCAAAAGTCACAATTATCTATTTTAATTTTTTAAAATGTAGCGGAATCGAGCAGCCATAAAAACCACGATGATTAATGATTATAAAATCCATTTTGTCTATGAGTTTGGCAAGCACTATTTTACCCCACTCTGTGCCGTCTCCTGAACTCCGAGCCTCTCCGGCACCTTCTCCATCCTCCGCGTTTACCAAAAAGTCAAACTCCTTGAGTGCCTCCTCTGTGTCAGGGTCATCCGGTAAGTCTGAAGCCAAACCTTCATTTCCGACCTGGAAAAGTTATCATTATAGGCTATATTACATCAACAATCATATACCGAGAACAATAAATAATTATTACTAAAATTTTTACACACCTTAATTTTATGTTTTTTTATTCTACGTTTATCACTCCTGTCAGGCACGTCCTCCATTATGTCGCCCTCATCTTCTTCCTCTTCATCACTATCGTCAGCATTTTCTAAAAAATTAAATGTCTCCAGAACCTCTGGATTCCTGTTAAACCAAAGGCATCATAAGCAATGTTTCAAAACAGCTAACATGGAAATCTTTTTAACTGTTTATATTAATCTACCAGTTGAATCGACCCCCAAAAAAACTAGAGATGCACCGATTGCAATTTTCTTGGCCGATTCCGATTTCTTTGTGTGTTACCTGCCAATACCGATTTTTGCCGATTCCGATTTTCTTTCTAAAAACTATAATTGACAGCATATACAAACAAAAATCTATACTTTTTAATGCAAAAAAAAATATTTACAAAAAAATTATTAAACATTACAATTACCACAATCTGGACAAAGTTACAGTTGTTCTCTCACTTAAACAACTCTCAAAATAAAGTGCTCTGTGACTAGAAAAAAGGTAGAAATAACAATTAACTGAAAAGGAGTTGCTGTACTATTTAACAAAACAGATGTCATTTCCCACTGTTTCTTAAATTGTCATTTTTCACTAACCTTATTAAATGTGTCATCTTTCACATCAAATTCTTACATTGTTTCAATTAATTCAGTTATCAGTATCAGTAATCAGTATCAACAAACTCCATCTTTCCACTGCAGGAAACATAGAAGCTGCATCTGAAGTGGCATTAGATGTATTTACACAGACTGTCTGATGAAGCTGAGGTGCCATAAATGCATTTACACTGCAAACTTTCGAATGCATAAAGAATTTTATAAGATTAATGTTTTACATATTTTTAAACATACAAATAAAAAATGTTGGGAAAAATGCAATGATAGTTTTAAATATGAAACCAAACCAGTAGGTGGCATCAAATGACCGTTTGAATGAGTGAGTCATTTAGTTTTCCATTCAACAGATTCGTTCAAACGGATGATTAATTTAGAAACGAGGCAAGTGACTACCGTCTTTATGAATAGGTTACTGAATCATTGACTCACTTGATTCGTTCAAAAACGTGGATTCATTCAGTATCGAAACACCGCTGTGTTGCTCGGAGACACAAAACAGTTCTGCTGTGGCTCTGATTGGAACTATTTTCATCAGCGCAATTGAGCAAAAACAGTCAATAGTGTCTAAACCGTAAGTCACTTAATTTTAACTTGTTTATTGAACTACTATTGTATAAAATCACATTGCAATCGTGTTGAAACATTTTGTTCGTGCAATGTTGCGTACCTAAATCATATATTATAATTTTTTTTTTTTACTACCGCAGTATGTATCTATAAGTTTCTATGAGTGCTGTTGCGCTCATCCGTTTTGTTTTCTGCACGACTCTCTCTCACACACACACACTCACTCAGGCTGCTACTCATCTGGTACAACACAAATACATTATTAATCGGCGTAAGTGTGACGTCAAAACAGACCGGCTCGGAACCGGCAGACTGACAGGCCGGTCACCGGTCCGGGCCGATCATGCGGAAAACCAGCTAATTCCGGTCCCTGGCCGGTCGATCGGTGCATCTCTAAAAAAAATCCAAGGAAATCTGTACCTTTTCATGTCTTGTCCCTTTCTTTTGGCTGGAGACTCTCCTCCATTGAGAATCTGCTCTAGGTTCTTGGTTTCCACAGAACCGTTCTGCTCTGAGCCGGATAGCCCCAGTAACGACCGCACTCTCTGCGACCGGACATCCAGTATTGTGTCCGTATAACCTACTTCCTGAAGATATCTTGAAGGACAGAGATGTATAAAGACAGTAAGAACAGAGCTCAGACAATCAGGTGACATAAATAGCCATAATGTGATGATGCACATGCCCATGAACTTCCACACAGAGAAAGTATCATTCAGAAAAGCATAATGACTCAAGACTAACTTACTGTCTGAGGAGTTGCCTGCCCTGTTTCCACGTTAACTGGCTGTTCTGAGGTATAGCCGAGACCTCTGTATCTTTGGTATCTTGTTTAAGAAACAAAATAAACAATAAAACCACATTAGTAAAAGCAGAACAAAACATATGAATATACACATACAAACTAAATACCATTCAAAAGTTTGGGGTTAGTAGAGTGTTTCTTGAGCAGCAAATCAGCATATCAGAATGATTTCTGAAGGATTATGTGACACCAAAGACTGAAGTAATGGCTGCTGAATATTCAGCTTTGCCATCATAGGAATAAATTACATTTTAAAATATATTAAAGGGGTCATATGCTGCTAAAAAGAACATTATTTTGTGTATTTGGTGTAATGAAGCAACTTTACAGATCTTCTTTATGCACCCAGAGCTTAGTTGTAACACTCCAAAGAGAAAGGAAAAATTGAAAATCGCATCATA